GCAGGAGGTCTAGTGACCAGGGGAAACATAACCCCTAAAGAATCAACAATCCCCAGAAATATTGGGATACATGAGGGATTTTCCATGATGAGATCCTCAAGAACACTTAGAGAATTGACAATTTACATAAAAATAAGGGGCTAATTGAAGCAATAATTATGGAAATATAGAAGGGAAAGACATATGTGGCTAGATATCAACCAGAACAGTTAACACACCTTAGATTTTAGTTTAGATTTCAAACCATAGGGGAATAAGAGTCATTGTAGGGTCTTGAGCAGTAATGTTAGCTAAGATTTCCACTTTGGAAAAACTAATAGGACAGGTTTAGAAAAGCATATTGACCAATCTTATTAGCACATTTTTCAAAAAGTCTTTTTAAAATTGGAATATCTCCCCTCCTCCATGAAGTTTTTACTTGAAATTTTCATAATATGTGCTTAGAATAATTCAACTTTTCAATCGAGGTTCACATCTCCAATCTTTTCGCTTAATAAGATACCTTCTTTACCTCCTGAGACAAATCCTTGAATGTGGCAATTTCCCAATAACATATTTTCATAACGGAGATTGGACAATATATCATTTATTAATTAAAGAACATGAGTTACACTGTACAGTTTGATATTGGCTTAACACTGAATTTCTGGTGGGAGGAGGGAGAGACATCACATAAACCCTGGCTACCTTCTTTGAGTATTTGCATGCTTTGTTCTAACAGTAGATGATGAAGTGAGAATTTTAAGAGGCCTATACTAATAGCAAAGACAGATCTTTACTTGCAAACCAAAGCTAGGTGTAATCAAATACCATATTTGCTCATTGGTTTTCAGGTTTTATAAGTATATATGTGTAGCTAGAAATGCTCTACTCCATATTTTTTTCTCATTGAAGTTTTTAGTTTGTTTTTTAATTCAAGTCTTATAAAAAGCAAGTTCAGAAAAGTTGAAGTTTCTTAGAAAAAATAACCACATTATAGTGGAACAAATTCTATCACCATCTCTCTCTCTCTAATTAATACAAGATAGATTCCAAAGGAGAACCTGGAATTACTATTTCCATTCTATAAGGTATGGGGTCAAGTTCCAAAACTTGGCCCCAAAACACAGAGCTCATGATTTGGCCTAATCTACCTTTCTAGCCTCATCTCCTTGTTTCTTTCTTTTCATAATCTAAACTCATCAGTATAATGACCATTTCTCAAAACAACCCATGCCTTCCATTTATTTGCTACATGTGCTGATCAGCCTTTCTTTTCTCCATTTGCCTGAAGTATCTTAACCTTTCTCTTAAAATCAGCTCCATGGCACCTATCTGGAATTCTTCATTCTTTGAAGAACCCATAGAACTTTGTGTTTGGCTTATTGTAGCACTTCTTTGATTATTTTGCTACAAGTATGTTTCCCACTGGTCTGACTGTCAGAACGGCATAAACCATGTATTTCCACCCTCCTTTTTTAATCCTCCCCCCGACTTCCACCCCTGACCTACGGATGTTGCTGTCTCCCTTTTTTTTTAAAGAATTGGATCTCTGAAGGCGGGGTGTCTCCTCCCACAAGCTTGCGGTGCACCTTGGGGCTTGGTGCACCCAGGGCCTGGAGCACCTGGTGTATAGTCCGTGGCTCCACCTGGGGCGTGAACCCGGGACCTTGTGTGTGTAAAGCAGACATGCTAACCACTACACTATGGAGCCACCTCAAACCAAGAATTTTTAAAATTCCAGTGCTTAGCATATAATAGATGCTCAAAAAATATTTGGTGATTAAGACTGCACAATAGGGACAAATGAGCTCATAAATATAAACTAAACAGACAACTGCAAGCCCTTCAAGATATAACTCCAGCTAATCCACATAGATTTTAGTGATTTAAGGAAGAGAGAAAGATGTTGAGGGGTCCTAAAAAGGTGGTGCAAGGAATTAAGAGGTAATTTATAATCTTCAAAGCCAATTATTGCTTCAGGGCTCTATTTCAAACAGATTTCCTTTGCTTCAATTAAACTCACAATACACCCCAAATAAAGATAAGGAGGTCACATTTTCTTGCCTGTTTTGTTGTGATTAATTCAATGGGCCCACCAATTTGGGGATATACTTTATTTTCCAAGATTGGGACAGATAAACCCAGCTGAAAGTAAAGAGAGAAGATTAAATTGAAAAGCAGTATGTATTTTCTTGACTATTTACATATAAATGTGTATGTAAATGTGGTTTTAAAACAGGGCCACAAGATTCTTTGACAGGCCTCCCATAGAGAAATGAAAATCTATGCTCCCTCCCCTAGTATCTAGTCTCTATAACTGCTTGACTAATAGAACATGACAGTGATGCCTGTGTCAGTTTCTGTGTCTTGATCTTAGGAAACTAGTAGCTTCTACTTCCTATTTCTTAGGCTGCTTGCTCTTGGAACCTGGACACCCTGCATGAGGGAACCTGACACACTTATGGAGAGGCCAATGTGGACTCGAACGTGTAGTCAGCACCAATTTGCTTGCCATGTGAGTGAGCCATCTTGGGTGTGGATGTCCTTTCCATCCCACACCCACCTCCGAGCTCCTTGTAGTTCCCTACAGTTTTTCTGCTTGTGGTTACTATGTTCTGCCTTCTGGATCTGAACACAAATTAATTATTAGTTGAGTAATATAACATATGATATGTGATGCAGATGGAAGGCAGTGAAGAGTAGTATTACTCATTTTTGCAATCTATTGATGTTAAGGCAAAATTTGGCTACTTAGCAATTGTATTGACCTCTCTTAGAGAAAGAAACCTTTTACCCTCTTTCTCAGGACCACTATACAGCCACATACACAACCTATTTAGAATAGACAATACTGCTTTCAAACAATTCCAAAAGTTTTATATTTTCTCATATTGTGGTAAAATATAAAGAACTGGCTGGTAGTTTCATGGCATTCTACATACTGAAATTGTGCTTAATCTAAAAAAAAGTACAATATTAGGAAAGTAAAACACCTATAAAAATAAAACAAAATTTCTACTTGTATCTTGTTTTTCTTATAATGCATTTCAAAGAATATGAAATGAATTATATATATAGATATATTTTGAGTCAATATTTTTATAAACATAATTGACCATTTATATTATCTTATGCACAAAGTCATATTGTTACTACACATTTTAAACTTACTAAGATGGTTAGAGTAATGATTCTTCGACTTGGACTTGGGGTGAAGTGCCAAGAGTAGTAGGAGTTTAGCCCCTTAAAATCGCTCTTGCCCTGATGCTGATCTGGAAATTTGGATTCCTCTTCAAAGCCCTTTGGCAGTTAACCAAAGCACTTCATCATCAGAACAATGTTTATCCTTTCATAATATCTTTCACTATTTCCTGCCCAAGTCATGAAGTGTGTGTGTATGAAATGTGTGTGTGTGTGTGCGTGCGGGGGAGAGAGAGAAGAGAGAGAGAGAGAGAGAGAGAGAGAGAGAGAGAGAGAGAGAGAGAGAGAATGTTGTATAGGAGCAGGGCTTAAAATGTTTACCTATTTTGAGGAGTATTCAGCAGTAGGGAAAACTTTGGATTTTTTTTTTTTCATTGTAATTCATCTGATTCATCTATCTGTAGTTTAATTTGTTTCCCTAAACCGTGAGTATTATTTAACGATGCTCATTACTCAAATACTTTATAAAATAATCCTCACAATTCCTGTAAGGTAATTATAAGCACAGTGCTGCCACTAACTTGCAGAAGACAATAATGAAGTGTCAAATTTCTGAGACCATAAGGTAAACTCCCTGCTATCTGAGGCTGCTGAAGCCTAAAGGGTCAATCTTATAACTTACATTCGCAGAAACTCAGGAAAACAAAATGCTCCAAACCCACATTTTTCCTTTGTAATCCCTGAATAGTCTTGCCTAAATAGTATTAACATTTAGGCAGTTAATAATTTATATCAGTAGAGATGGGTCTATCTTTCCCCAGCTATGTCATTCTAGAGAGAGACTGACAATCCTTGAGCAAGGAGATAGTGGAGGCATTGTGCTAGAACACTCAGTGGTGACATAACTGACAAGGAATCTACTATAAATCCTGGCTCTGAGCATTTATTTCTCCTTTTCTTGCAAGGGCAAAAGGTTATACTCTCTTGGTGTGCACGTCACAAAAGTAAGCAATACTTAAATGTACCATATTTTCGACCACCCAGAGAGGAAATGATCATGGAGAAGAGCTCAGAGGAGATATTATGTTATTGATGAAGTGTCAATGAATCATAGATATGTAGATTAAATTCTCTTGAAACTACACAATCTTTAAATATAAGGAACACTACTTGAGCTGAAACATGTTTTGGATTTAGGAAACCTCTGCTCGTGAGGGAAATAATTGGAAACACCTGGACCATACATGCCACTTTTTCAAGTGTTTCTACTACAGATCTTTGCAGGAAGGATGTTGGGAGGGAAGTCCGTCATGGGTGAGATTGTTTATTGGTTACAGTTGCCAAAGCCCTTTCGGTTGTATGTTTATACTCCCAATGCGAACACGATAATCACAAAAGGAGACAGATGGAAGAAATTATAAGCCATGGAATAAGTTAACTTTCATTATATACTCTCAAATGCCCTTGCAGTCTCCTCACAACACCATGACTACACAGTTTCTATAGTAACCATGAAAAAGACAGAACCGCCTACACAATTTAGCCAACATGTGATTCAAAGATCATATTTAATGGTTCAAAGTGGCATAAGGTGTTATTGACAGTTTTCTGAAAATGTGCAAGTCTACTCCTAAGTGTCCAAAGAAGGGAAAATGTGGTGATCAGTGTGACCTGGTGACTGGAAAATATGCTGTACTATTACACAGGGTTAATGTAAATACTCTTTATAGAAAGCCAAAAAGTATATGACAAATTATTATGTCAAGCAAATGTGTGTCTTCTCAGATGCTTTAGACTAGCATATGACTTTTTTCACCTTGAAAATATTAATCAGATGTCACTGAAGTATTTCTTTTTTACCATTTTAAGCATATTTAAGTGTACAATTCAGCAGCATTAAGTACATGCACAATATTATGCAACCATCATCACTAGCTATAACCAGAATCTTTTCGTCATCCTAAACAGAGTCTCTGTACCCATTATACAAAAATCCCCCATTCTCCTTTCCCCTAGTCAACTCTATTATACTTTCCATTTCTATGAATTTATCTATTCTGGGTACCTCAGATAAATGAAATCAGAATATTTTCTTATTGTGTCTGGTTTGTTTCATTTAGTATAATGTTTTCAAGACTTATCCATTTTGTAGCATATATTAGAATTTCATTTTTTTATGAATGAATAATATTCTGTTTTATATATATCACATATTAAAAATCCATTAATCTGTTCATGGACACGGGTTATTTCTACCTTTTGGCTATTGCGAATAATGCTGCTATGAACATTAGTATATGTTTGAATCCCTTGTTAAATGACTTTTTAAAATTAAAATATATTTTGCTCTTGGTATTTGGATATAATAAAAAAAAAACTGAAGGGGCACCACTGATAGATTTTTTGGTTGTTTTGTTTTTTCTTTATTTTTAAAATAGATGAAAAATCCTCACTTGTCTCACTCCTCCTCACATCCCAAGACTGTATATGCCCTACACATATATCAACTCAAATTAAATTAAGCAGGGCTACAAGATATGGACAGGATTTACTCTCAGAAACTGAAGCAATCGTATTTCCTGACGACAAAGAGGGTTCGTATTAAAAATAAACATATTTTATTATTTTCTAAGCTTCTTAACTCTTCGTATGTATAAAATAAGATAACTAAATAAAGAGAACTGCTTTTTAAAAAGGTAGCATCATCAGATAATTTAATTGAAATATTCTTGGCCCTTTAGCATTTCCTACCCAGGCATTTTGTACATAGTTATCATAAGCTTGAAGATGAAACTATTTTGGCTGAATTTGAGATAAGTGTAGGCAGGTTAAAACCTCCCAACTAGTTACTCCATAGAAATTTATTACTGCCAGTCATTAGAAAGTTAAATTAATCCAAGCTTAAAGGAGACAGATTCCAAGTGTAGAGAATCAAACAGACCACCAGATTGAGTATTCCTGAAACATGTGCTTTTGGAAAATGTATCAGTAGAAATGACAGAAATTGTAGACCTAACAGTTGGGCAGAGTATAAAATACTGAAATTAGTGATTAGGGATCTTCATGTGCAAAAAATAAAGCTCTTAATGGTTTTGCTTTTGACCAATGTTTTTCTTCTTAACAGCCTAAAAAGCAGATGTTTCAACTTGTCCACAAACTCTATTTCTTTCTTTAAGAAATGGTTACAGTAAAGTCCTGAAGAATTATATTTTTTAAAAGAAACCATTTTCTTGCTTGCTGTTGGCTTCCTCTCCTGTGCGATGAAGGCTGGCTGTGACATGTCAGGTGTCCTTGTGTTCTCTAGACTTGGATATTACTGTCCTGAACAAAAAATAAATAAAATGGCAATGCATGATGAAATATAATACAGTCCGTTAATATGGTGCAATTACATTGTTATAGAAATATAAAGTAGAGATGTTCAGAGTCATTCTGTCACACTAACCTTAAATTAAAATGTAGAATTATCAGATCTTGAACATACTCACAGATGCAGGATAATAACAGGAAGGCGGAAATTATTTCTGTAATACCTCAATTTTTGCCAAAATTCAAGGATTATTCATTTTTAAAAATCCTTCTAACTCAACTCTGTAACATGTGCACTTGTTCAAGTTACAGTTTTAGTGGTGATTTATGATATGCAGTGTTCTTTGATTCCTAAGCAGCATGGCTATTTCATTAGCTGGTCATGAATACTCTTTACTTCTGGTCTTAAATATGAAAATCAAAATGTTTCTGAGACAACCAGTTTAATTACCCATTTTGAAATGTTCACACCCTACATTTCCTTCTTTTTTTCTTTTTCCCCATCCCCCTACCCTCCATCAGCTTATTCACTATATCTATGGGTCTGTTTCTTTTCTGTTTATTCATTTTTTTTTTTAGATTCCACATATAAGTAAAATCATATAGTATTTGTCTTTGTCTGATTTATTTCACTCAGCATACTACCCTCTAGGTCTATCCATGTCACAAAGGACAAGATTTTATTCTTTATTTCTGAATAATATCCATCATCTGTGTGTGTGTTTGTGTGTGTGTGTGTGTGTGTGTGTGTATGTGTGTTATGACCCCATTGTATAGCCTTGCTTCCTTTGTTGTAGATTGACCATATCAGTGAGGATTTATTTCTGGTCTATTTATTCCATTGATCCATGTATCTGGTTTATGTCAGTACCATGTTGTTTTTATTATTGTAATTTTGTAGTGTAGTTTGATATCAGAGAATGTAACATGCCCATTTTATTCTTTCTTAAGATTTTTTTGGTTATTTAGGGCCTTTTGTGGTTCCATATAAATTGTAGAATATTCTAATTTTGAGAAGAATGCCATTGGTATTTTAATAGGGATTGAATTGAATCTGTAAAATGTAGTAAGGACATTTTAACAATATTAATCCTTCCAATCCATGAGCAAGGTATATTCTGCCTTTTTTTTTTTTTTTTTTTGTATCTTCATTAATTTCTCTCTTTAATGTCTTATAGTATTCAGAGTACAGGTCTTTGGCCTCTTTGGTTGAATTTATTCCTAAATATTTTATTCTTTTTGATACAGTTATAAAAGAAAGTGTTTTCTTAATTTCTCCTTCTGATCATTCATTATTGGTTTATAGAAACACAACAGATATCTGTATATTGATCCAGTATCTTGCAACTTAACTGGATTTATTTATTAGTTCTAGGAGTTTTTTTGATGGAATCTTCAAGGTTCTCTTTATATGGTACCATGTCATCTGCAAATAATGCAAGTTTTACATCTTCCTTTCTGATTTGGATGCTTTTATTTCTTTTTCTTGTATGATTGCTGTGGTTAGGAATTCCCACACAATGTTGAACAGAAGTGGTGATAGTAAGCATCCTTGTCTTGTTCTTCATCATAGAGGAAAAGCTTTCAGCTTTTCACTATTGAGTATGATATTAGCTGTGGGTTTGTCACATATAGTCTTTATTATGCTGAAATATGTTCCTTCTTTATGTACTTTGTTGAGAGTTTTAACCAAAAATGGAGGTTAAATTATGTCAAATGCTTTTTCTGTACCTACTGAGGTGATCATATGGTTTTTATCCTTTATTTTGTTAATGTGATGTATCACATAGATTGATTTATGGATGCTGAACCATCCTTGCATCCCTGGGATGAATCTTGTTTGGTTAAGG